GGGAGTGCTCCTAATCTCAGCTCGTTACCTGTATAAAAGACACCTGGGAGCCAGAAATCTTTCTGATTGAGAGGGGGTCAAATACTTATTTCCCTCATTAAAATGCAAATCAATTTCAAAAATTTTTGACATGCCTTTTTCTGGATTTTTTTTTGTTATTCTGTCTCTCTCTGTTCAAATAAACCTACCATTCAAATTATAGACTGATCATTTCTTTGTCAGTGGGCAAACGTACAAAATCAGCAGGGGATCAAATACTTTTTTCCCCCTCACTGTATCCCACAAATGTTGATATTTGGTTGTGTTACAACCAAATCAATAATTAAATAAAATTGTATTTGTCACATGCTTTGTAAAACAACAGGTGTAGACTAACAGTGAAATGCGTACTTACGGGCCCTACACTGTAACACATTGCTGTAGTTTTTACAGTAAAAACGCACAGTAATTCCATGTTTTATCCATTAACAATATAATGTTGTAGACTGCAATGCAGCTTGGGTCGCCGAACGATTACAGTTTGTAACAGTGAAATTGTGAATGTTACGCAAACAAAGTACAGGCATGATGATTTCCAGCTAATAACGGTTAGTCCTAGGCCCATTGGATTATGGGATTGCATGGTCTTTTCGGGTGAATTCTTGTACAAGACCGCTACACTGAAGCAGCCATCGGGTGGGTTAAATCATATTTTACATTCAGCCATTCAATGAGAAGACGATTTCTCACTAGGTTACGGCTCCCGACATAAAATAGCCTACAAAATCACATAGCTTATTGTAAAGAATTGGCCATTTGAGCACATCGAGCTTTCCACATACTCGGGCAGTCTCGTGATGGAAGCGAGCATCTGCAATTGCGGTCAGTAGGCTACATGAAATTTGTTGAATTTTGATAGACTATTTTGCATTGGGAGCCGGTGAATCGGTTTGAAAATGTCAAGTGTCTCTGCGAGCCTTCAGTCTAAAACTGTTATAATTAATAGCCTATTCCATGTTCTGTTTTCCCCAAATATTTTTGTACGTGAGAAAACAGCTATCTGTGCCCTCCCTTAGCTAAATATTGGAACGTTGTTTGAATCAAGATGGAATAGATTCTAGATGCATTTTCGTTATGGCTTAATGGTTCGAATGTGTGATCAATCTGTCTGTCCGTTGGCGAACTAGCTGCATTATAGCGGTCATTTGAGGTGAATTTAGGTTAAGTATTGTGGGGATCTATTTTCTCATAATTGGATCTGGATGTGATGAATAGCTTAGAAGGAATGCATTGGTGATTAAACATAGAAGGTTTGTACTGTACTGATATAAATTGTTTCACATAACAAGCTGTGATTCATGTGAGGAACGTTAGGGGGTAGGATGAGATAAGAACTTGTGTCTCAAAATACTAGACTACACTGCTTCTTTGTGATCTGTGAACCGTCCTTGAAAGTAGGTACATAGAGTACAGTGGAACGGTTTCTATGGGTGCTGACTCTACAGGTTGTTGTGATAACAACTTATGCCTGGCAACAGTGTGCAACAGTGGAGCACCAAGAGGCTGGGACCAGCCTGAGCGCCAGCGATAGGTTGGGCAAGTCTAAACCACGCCCAACCTCTACCCTGATAGGCCCAGCAGAGAGCGGGAACTAAAACTGTCAGGGTATTTACGGAAGGATTTGTGATGAGGAAGTCAGTTCTCTGTCTGCCCTGCGTGGTATTTCAGTGAGCCCGTATACGAACCATCATACTTATCATACATACATTTTGCATATAATAAATTTAGCTTGGATTGAATATCTCTTGATTATGTTTTCTCTTATTCCAATACCAGATTTGAATTACGCAATTTCTAACAGTATTCTCAGCCACAAACGTTAGCTTGCTACTCTGATTTTTTTGGGATTTGGATAATATAAATAAGTACAGGCTACTACAGCTTGAACTGAGACAGCTGATTTGTTTAGTTAAAAAAATTAAAAAATCCAGAATCAACCTTACACAGTTGAAATGTTTCAGTGCAAGTCGTGTATGCATGAATCTAATACAGTAGTATCATTCGTACAGCACATGAAACTTCATAGAAATGCACCAAATTGCTCTTTTAATTGTGGTGTGACCAAATGTTCCCGTGCATTCAGGCACTGCCTTTAAGTCTCACTTATACAGAGACCACAAGGGATATCAAAGGTCTGTGAAAAGTGCACAATTTCAACCAGTAGACAAAATGTTGATTTGTCCAATAGACATTTGTCAGTTCAGATGTTTACGTTTGAATTTGTTTCTCATTTGAAGGATCATTTGCAAGAGGGCAGAGAAATTAGTTGCCCTTTTATGGGATGTGAAAAAAACATATGCTGTTAAATCTACATTTGCCTCTCATATATCCAGAACACACAAAAACAGCTCTGTCAAACATGCATATGAGACAGTGTTGGAAACACAAACTGAAAATGTTACTGAGACCTACAGAGAATGACTTTTCCGGGGACCTAGAGGCAGGCGGCCATTTGGACAGTGTTGATTAAGCTCTTTAAAAAAAAATCTTACACCGTTTTATTTAAAGCTTCAGGCAAAGTAATTGTTACCGGTCTCTGTCATTCAGTCTATTATTGAAGAATTTCAAGATATTCATGACCTTGGTCAATCACATCTTCTTTCAAAGCTCAAGGAGAAGTTGGGTGTACTTGGCATTCCTGAGAATGATATAAAAATTGCAATTGAAGCGCTCCAAAAGGAGGATCTTCTCAAGGCCTGTAATGGTTATTTATGGACAGATCAATGTTGGAAGACTATCTTTAAAAACACTTTCAATTATGTTGAACCTGTGCCCTTGTATTTAGGCACTACTGAATCTGGGAAAGAGTATGTCCTTATAAATAAAACACTTGGTGCCCTTTTTGAGTCAGAGACATTCAAGACACAGTATGAGAAAGCACATGCTCACATCTCTGATAAGGAAATCTTTCAAGATATTTGGGATGGACAGAATATTGCAGACAATGCTTTATTTAAAACAGAAGCATCATCTTTAGCCTTAATACTATATCAAGATGCATTTGAGGTTGCAAATCCTTTGGTATCAGGGAAAAATAAACAAAGTGCTTGTTTTCTATCTTACTCTAGGTGACATTTTGCCTTATAACAGGTCAAATATTGATCACATGCAACTAGTCCTTCTGTGCAGAGAGCAAGATTTTAAGCATTTTGGACAGGAATTAGTTCTTAACCCATTGCTAAGAGATCTTAAGGAGCTAGAGGATGGTGGTATTGTTTTAGCAGATGGACGTGTTGAGAGGTGCTTTATGTCCATAGCTGGTGATAATCTGAGATCTCAGTATTGGGGGCTTTGTAGAACATTTCAGCCACAGTACATATTGTTGTCGATATTGTGACATTGACAGCAACATTTGAGTCTAATCCACTGTCAACGGGTTCAACAAGAACTGCCCAGTCCTATAATGAACATGTACAGTACATAGAAGCGAATGACAAAGACAGTGCATGGGGTGTCAAATTTGATTCTCTATTTAATGAGCTTAGGTACTTCCAAGTTTGCCAGCCTGTACTGCCTCCTTACCTTGGTCATGACCTCTTCAAGGGAATTGTCTCTTTTGACCTTGCACTGTTCATTAATCATTTGGTCAATCAAGATAAACATTTTACATATTTAGAATTGAACAGATGCATCAGCCAATTTAAATACCTTGGGAGTGATGGTAATGGCAAACCTGAGATAAGCCCTGGCAGTGAGAAGCTAAGTGGACATGCTGTACAAAACTAGTGTCTGTTGAGAGTACTCCCCCTCTTAGTAGGAGATCGGATAAAAAAAATCCACCAGATAGTGTGTATGGCAGTTGATTTTGCTCCTAAGACAAATCGTCGGATATATATGTGCATCAGCCATTACAGCTGACCAGGTGGCATATCTTCAAGTCCTTATTGATGAATATATCCATTTCAGAACTGAGAATTTTCCTGACAAACCCCTCAAGCCAAAGCACCATTATCTCTGCCATTATCCCGAGCTTATCGTTAGGGTCGGGCCACTTTTCTTCTCTGGACATTGATGTTCGAAAGCAAGCATACTTCAAGCAGTGTGCACAGAAATTGCACAACTTTAAGAATCTATGTGGGACTCTAGCAGACAGACACCAACTGTTCCAAGCCTTTTTAAGTGCTGGCAGTTTATTTCCACCTCTCATTCAGGTAGAAAAGGGAACTGACTTTTTACGCCAGTGATTACAACAAGGAGATTGAGGATTCAGTCGCTGCATTTCACTTCAAATCTGACAACAGTTGTTTCAAATGATATCACTGTCAAAGGCACAAAGTACAAAAAGGGAATGTATGTTGTGATGGGGAAAGATGAGGATGGATTGCAAATGGGTGCGATTAAGTTGATCCTGGTCCATTGCTACTCTTCTGTTTATTTTGTTTTAGAGGCAGCAGGCTGTGCAGCTAGTTGATTTAGGTATTCACTGCCTAACAGGAATAGCCCAGGACTCAAACTTGATCTGCATTAAGCATGAAGACCTTCTTGATTATTACCTCTTAGTAGAGTACAAGGTATTTGGCAAATCAATGATGATCCTTCATCGTTCTTTCCCTTTGTTGTATAGCCATGTCAGCGCTAGGAGAGGAGATAAGAGATTGAGCAGTATTGTCAGTGCTACCAGATTTGCCTGAGCAGACACTTTCATCCCTCCTGGACAAGCTAGCAAGTGTGGGAGTAGAGGGAAAGCCAGACCTTCAATTTCTTAAAGAAGAAGACCTACAGGAGCATACCAGACCAATACAATGCCGGAAGCTGCTAACTGCATGAAGATTTGAAGGTATTACATTTTGCTAAAAGATTTACAAGTACTGTACAGTTGAGAGGAAAAGTTTGGAATTGTATTACTTTAGATTTCTGAGTTGAGCAACTATTTTACTTCCAGGACAAGCAAGGAGTGACACAGCTGGTGCCATCAAGGATACATCAACATTTGAGCCATCAAGCCCTTCCCCTTCACAGTCATCCTCCACAACCTGGTCAACAACCAGTACGACCAGTACTGTAGACCTGGACATCTGGCCAGAGAACTTCACTGTCCCTTGGGGCAAAATGGCCATGAACCTGAGATCAGCCATCGCCAGAGGCACACGGCCAACCCCGGGAGAATGAAGAGAGATGGTGAGAATTACAGTAGATGCAATGAGAGTTATTGAGCCTAATCCGACCAGAGCAGATTGCCATACAATAGCCAAGAGGATGGTACAACAGTACCCGAAAAGCTTCGCTGATAAAATGAAAGATGGCACTACAATTGGGAGTGGCTTTGGATCCCTCTTAAATCAGATGAAAACACGCGTTGAGCATAAGAATTGTGATAATCCTCTGGTACAGCTAAGAAAGAGAAAAACACTCTCAGGCTCATCGACTGTAGTCAGTGCAAGAGGGCCAACTGACAAATACGGCTGTGTAAGATGGCAGCCTGACTGTCCCACAGAAGAAACTGAGAAACTTTGGAGGCAAAGCGTAAAGGTAAATGGAGGAGCTTTATTCCAGAGAAGGGCCGGCAGGAGGTGACAGAGGACAACTCTCACAGCTTATGTAAGCAACATTTTACTTACAGCACTGTGCCATCAACGCTAGCCCAGCACCTAAGATAGCCGAGCTGAGGAGAAGTGGCCATACCTTTTCACACAGAAGGAACTCTACAACCACTTCAAGTTACTGACAGATGTCTCAATCCTGGAAAAAATTGATGCAATGATGGCAGAAAAAGGAAAGATTATCATACAATACTTCCGCTACAAACCAACAAATGAAGAGGTTCGCCACATCCTGTCATGGTTTGAAAAGGGTGGAGCGACTGCAATTGGCCTTTGTGTTGTCCTCCTGCTGATGGCCCATTTAAAAGAAAGGACAGATGCTCTCCTTCTACAGGCCGATGTGAATTCTACATTCATCTGCATCTTATGCATAAGATAATAATTGTCTATGTATTTTAGAAGTTTAAAATGATGATGTACCAAATGTTCAAAATGTGAACTGAAAGTTATAGAATGTTGTTTTATATCTTTCAGGTGTCAGCCACAGCCACAGATGTGGAGTGATCAATTCCCCTGCCGGACTCACCAAGACTGATTGTTCAAGGCAGAGTATCCAATAAGACTGTGTGAGTAATTGTTTTTAGACAGGGCCTTACAATAGCAATGTTTCACAGAGGTAATTGTGAAACATAAATGTGATCTGATTTCAGGTGACAATGACTGCTGCCAAATAGATAAGCGTCGAGAAGGAGGTCGTGATGTCGGTCCACTTTGTGGCAGCGCTGGCAGCTTTTTTTGCCTCATTCTACACCTTCAATTTGCCAAGAGGAGGCTTCACGCACCCTAGAGTTCATCCAAAGGTAAGCAAAAATATGCTTCTTCCTTGGGAGAATTCCATTGGGGGGGCTTTAAACTGAGGCATTTTGTATCACAGCTTGGTTTGGCAGGTTAATTGAATCAAGATATGTTGATACGTTTGAAACGCTCCTTTGTCAGAGCATAAACACATAATGCGAAGCCATTATTTGAACTGGGGACAATGTACAGAGGTAATGCAGCACACTTCAGACACTATTGAAGACATCAGGGGACCTAATCATATTTCTAAAGTTTTGTCTGGATGTGCTCTTTGTTTTCACAGATCTTTTGCTGGAATCAATCCATCCACTGACTCGAAGACCGCCACAGCAGAGGTCGTCAGCAAGAAAAGTGGAAAGGTAGTGGAGAAGAGACACAATGAATGTACATGTCTGTACTCTGCTCAGGAAGATAATGGACTTTGAACAGTTGTAGGCTAGTTCCTCTTGGGCATACATTTAATTTATTTTAGTCAATTGTGACCTTCTCAAGTAAGTTTGGTTTGTCACTGGGGTTGACTATTTTTTTGTGTTTTACACCTTAAGTGTTTGAAAATTATCCAGTATGCACTGCAATTGACACATTGTTGAGGAAGTAATGCTACTTTGGATGTTTGGAAATGTCTGGTATTTACTCAAAACTTGAGTAGGCAACCCTTATTAAAGCTTGAGTATGTAGTTTTGGGAAGTGCATAATCAGAAGTCTGGGAATAAGACAAAATATCCATTTAGATATTTTCTAACCATAATCTCACATAATTAAAAAGTCAAATTACCCTTCCCAAAACTACATACTCTGCGTTTAACCTGGGAATGAAGGTAATGACAAACCTAAGATAAGGCCAGGCAGACATGTTGCACAAAACTCTGTAGAGAGTAGGCCTACTACCCGTCTTAGTAGGAAACAAGATACATTTTTTCTTTTTTTGAGCTCAAAGCGAGGCAATGCGATTTTTGAGTTACCTGTGTCTGAAAGGTTATTTTTTATTTCTAAAAGCTAAGATACATACAGTATACCAGTGCCTTTCTTATCTGGAACAGTTAAACACGCACCTTATTCAGGACATTGATCTAATTTGAAGTTTGATACATTTGAAACATTAATTTTTATGTCACATATCATTAAAAATAATTTAGCAACATTTTTCAGTTTGTAAAGGAAGATGCTTCTCAGTTTTGTAGATGGGGTGGTTGCATCCATCCTAAGTAATGCTAGAATGGAAACCCTTGATTTTGTGAAGTTGTCATACTAATACTATTAAGATTAAGAATTGTATTCTGTCCTGATGAATAATTTTCAGATTTACACTTTTTGATAGGTGCAAGGTGTAGGTTTGTAATTGAGGCGTTTGTGATGCAGCACATTTGGCTACAGTTTATTGGCATTTCTCACCGAGCAACGGTGAGGATGTACTATGGGAGCTTATTACATGTGTTTGTTTGTTGTTTTTTCCCCCTCGCTCGACTTCTTTCATTCAACTTTTTCACCACGGACGCTTTATCTGGACATGGTTCTACAGGACCTCCACCAGCAGAAGCTAAGTAGTAACATTAACACTGCCATCTAATTGCAGTCGCTGTACTCATAATATACAGGAAAACTATCACCTTATGGTGAGGATAGACGTTTTGCAAGCCCAGCTTCAGATGTAATCGTTAGGCAAGGGCAATTTAAGTGTAGGAAAGGAACATTTGTAAGTCGCTCTGGATAAGAGCGTCTGCCAAATGACGTAAATGTTGTGAAACAGCGTCTGTGCAACCAGTAAGTACAGATAGTAGTATAAATCCCCTTGCACAGTCCCCTGCAGCCGGACAATTTTCTCAAGGTTTTTGGAAAGAAATGCTGTCGGCATGCTCAACCAGTGTCGCTAATTCAGCCGACAGAAACTTTCAACCGGTTCTCCCCATTAAGCAACGAGTCACAGGCCGAGCCTTCTCAGGTCTCTCCTCCACCCGTTACGGGGTCTGAGCCACTGAAGCCTCCCACCATTAGCTCTGACAAATTGAAAATCCTAGTCATTGGCGACTCCATTACACGCAATATTAGACTTAAAAATAATCATCCAGCGAGCATACACTGTTTACCAGGGGGCATGGCTACCGACGTAAAGGCTAATCTGAAGATGGTGCTGGCTAAGGCAAAAAAACTGGCGAGTGTAGAGAGTATAGGGATATTGTCATCCACGTCGGCACCAACGATGTTAGGATGAAACAGTCAGAGGTCACCAAGAGCAACATAGCTTCAGCGTGTAAATTAGCTAGAAAGATGTGTCGGCATCGACTAATTGCCCTAACTGGGAGGGGGCCAGAGACAAGTGATGAGCTCTACAGCAGTCTCACAACTCAATCGCTGGTTGAAAACTGTTTTCTGCCCCTACCAAAAGATAGAATTTGTAGATAATTGGCCCTCTTTCTGGGACTCACCCACAAACAGGACAAAGCCTGGCCAACTGAGGAGTGACGGACTCCATCCTTGCTGGAGGGGTGCTCTCATCTTATCTACCAACATAGACAGGGCTCTAACTCCTCTAGCTCCACAATGAGATAGGGTGCAGGCCAGGCAGCAGGCTGTTAGCCAGCATGCCAGTTTAGTGGAGTCTGCCACTAGCACTCAGTGTAGTCAGCTCAGCTATCCCCATTGAGACCGTGTCTGTGCCTCGTTCTAGTTTGAGCAAAACTTAACATGGCGGTGTTCGTTTTAGCAATCTCACTGGAATAAAGACCTCCTCCATTCCTGTCATTATAGAAAGAGATTGTGATATCTCACATCTCAAATTGGGCTACTTAATGTTAGATCCCTCACTTCCAAGGCAGTTAGGGTCAATGAACTAATCACTGATCATAATCTTGATGTGATTGGCCTGACTGGAGTGACACCCTTTTTATTTAAAAATATCACACTAGAAGTTATCAAAAATAAACAAGGAGAGAAAAGCACCAAGTGACTTACGTGCTGTGAACACAATTGCAGACATGCACAAACACGAAGAAAAAAAAAAATGACCCACACACAGGTGGATGTGAGAAGTGCCTAAATACTATCCCCAATCAGAGACAAACTCTAGACAGCTGTCTCTGATTGGGGGTCATAAACCACCCCTAGTTATGATGTGAGGACTTGACTGTGGTCCTACCACCCCCCCCTAGTGGGAGTAAGGACTAACCACAGTCAAACCCTCACACTCCTCTTGATTACACTAGTGACCATATCCCCCGCGCATTCCGCAAAGGTGGAGGTGTTGCTAACATTTACGATAGCAAATGTCAATCCCCCCCCCCCCCCCAAAATGACTGCGTTTTCGTCTTTTGAGCTTCTAGTCATGAAATCTATGCAGCCTACTCAATCACTTTTTATAGCTACTGTTTACAGGCCTCCTGGGCCGTATACAGAGTTCCTCACTGAGTTCCCTGAATTCCTATGGGACCTTGTAGTCATGGCAGATAATATTCAAATTTTTGGTGACTTTAATATTCATATGGAAAAGTCCACAGACCCACTCCAAAAGGCTTTCGGAGCCATCATTGACTCAGTGGGTTTTGTCCAACATGTCTCCGGACCTACTCATTGCCACAGTCATACCCTGGATCTAGTTTTGTCCCGTGGAATAAATATTGTGGATCTAAATGTTTTTCCTCAAAGCCCTGGACTATCGGACCACCATCTTATTACGTTTGCAATCGCAACAAATAATCTGCTCAGACCCCAACCAAGGACCATCAAAAGCCGTGCTATAAATTCTCGGACAACCCAAAGATTCCTAGAGGCCCTTCCAGACTCCCTCCAACTGAGGATCTACATTTAACCTTGTGTAATACCCTAGATGCAGTCGCATCCCAAAAACAAAAAACATTTGTAACAAGAAATTAGCTCCCTGGTATACAGAAAATACCCAAGCCCTGAAGCAAGCTTCCAGAAAATTGGAACGGAAATGGCGCTCCACCAAATGGCACTCCACCAAACTGCAGTATCGAAGAGCCCTCACTGCTGCTCAATCATCCTATTTTTCCAACCTAATTGAGGAGAATAAGAACATTCCCAAATTTATATTTGATACTGTCACAAAGCTAACTAAAAAGCAGCATTCCCCAAGAGAGGATGCCTTTCACTTCAGCAGTGATGAATTCATGAACTTCTTCGACGAAAAGATCATGATCATTAGAAAGCAAATTACGGACTCCTCTTTGAATCTGCGTATTTCTCTAAAACTCAGCTGTCCTGATGAGTCTGCATAAAACTTCCAGGACTTAGGATCAATGGAGACACTCACATTTTTTTATCCTTTATCTCTTGACACATTCATGAAAATAGTAATGGCCTCTAAACCTTCAAGCTGCATACTGGACCCTATTCCAACTAAACTACTGAAAGAGCTACTTCCTGTGCTTGGCCCTCCTATGTTGAACATAATAAATGGCTCCCTATCCACTGGATGTGTACCAAACTCACTAAAAGTGGCAGTAATAAAGCCTCTCTTGAAAAAGCCAACACAGAAAATGTAAAACACTATCAGCCTATATCGAATCTCCCATTCCTCTCAAAAATGTTAGAAAAAGCTGTTGTGCAGCAACTCACTGCCTTCCTGAAGACAAATAATGTATTCAAAACGCTTCAGTCTGGTTTTAGACCCCATCATAGCACTGAGACTGCACTCGTGAAGGTGGTAAATTACCCTTTAATGGCATCAGACCAAGGCTCTGCATCTGTCCTCGTGCTCCTAGACATTAGTGCTGCTTTTGACACCATCGATCACCACATTCTTTTGGAGAGATTGGAAACCTTAATTGGTCTACACGGACAAGTTCTTGCCTAGTTTAGATCTTATCTGTCGGAAAGATATCAGTTCGTCTCTGTGGATGGTTTGTCCTCTGACAAATCAATTGTAAGTTTCGGTGTTCCTCAAGGTTCCGTTTTAGGACTACTATTTTTTTCACTATATATTTTACCTCTTGGTGATGTCATGCGGAAACACAATGTTAACTTTCAATGCTATGCGGACGACATACAGCTGTACATTTCGATGAAACATGGTGAAGCCCCAAAATTGCCTACCCTGGAAGCCTGTGTTTCAGACATAAGGAAGTGGATGGCGGCAAATGTTTTACTTTTAAACTCGGCCAAAACAGAGATGCTAGTTCTAGGTCCCAAGAAACAAAGAGATCTTCTGTTGGATCTGACAATTAATCTTGATGGCTGTACAGTCGTCTCAAAAAAACAACAGTGAAGGACCTCAGCGTTACTCTGGACCCTGATCTCTCTTTTGACTAACATATCAAGAATATTTGAAGGACAGCTTTTTTCCATCTTCGTATCATTGCAAAAATTCAGAAACGTTTTGTCCAAAAATTATGCAAAAAAGCTAATCC